TGTGTGTGTGTGTGTGTGTGTGTGTGTGTGTGTGTGTGTGTGTGTGTTGCCATCTTTGACAGACACAGGTGGTAATTAATTAAATGTATTTAAATAACAGAATGGATGTGACAAAAATTAGTAAGGAGCAAATATTCCTTGTTTTACCTCCAGATATGGTGATGATGACACGCACACTGCTCATACATAACTGACTCAAAGCTAATTGTTCAAGTAGTCATTAGGGTGTACCTGTGTCTCCATATCCGTTCAATTACTATATGTATATATATATATATATATATATATATATATATATATATATATATATATCATATCTTCCAGCCACCCACCTCCTCGTCACGCTGACTCTCTTTCTCTCGTCTATTTCTTTTTTTGAAATGTAAAAAATTCCTGTGGGGGGGGTAAGAGAAGGAGCGACAGAGGGAGACAGCGTCGGGCATTGGAGGGGAAATGTGTTGCATGGCCCAGAGCCTAACGGGTAATAAAGTCATTAATTCAGCTGATTAAGTTGGCCTTTGGGTTAAAGAAAAATCATATCCGTCTCCCTTTGAGATTGTGACTGGGGGAAGCACAGAAGAGGGAGAAGCCAGCTAATTAGTGCTGCGAAAAACAGGAGGGGGGGCAGAGAGGGAGATGGGAGACGGAGCGAGAGACAGAAAAGAGACAGAAACAGTGTGTGTGTGATGGGAGGGTGGGGGTGGGGGGGGGGTGCAGATAGGTGTTTCGACTGAACTACTAATGAGGCGTGTTTGGGGTGAGGGAGTGACAAGCTCATCAAAAACGTTGCTTTTCCTCAAAGAGTTTGCCCGGCTACCTTTGAGCCCAGCATCGACACGTAATGATGTGAAACGAGAGAGAGAGAGAGAGAGAGAGAGAGAGAGAGAGAGAGAGAGAGAGGAAGGGAGGGAGAAGTTAGGGTGAAATGTCAGTTTGCATTGCAGTTTAATGAGCTTGTTGTTCGATGCGAGAGAATACGGTAACGGCATCCTCGACCCACCTCCTCATCCTCCCCTGAGCGTTGACGCCACCTTGATGAACAAAGTGGCAGTGGTGGGATGTCCTGCAATGTCATGGGACATGAGTGTACAAAGGACCACGTTTGCTATACGTTTCATATTCAAACTCTTTCATTTTAAAGAATAATGGAGGGCAGCCCCACACAATGGTTCAAAATCATTTGATAAACTGACTTTATTGTCACTGAGGAAAACTTTATTTTTGTGGAACAAGAATTGCCTGTCAAAGAAAAGTTGAATCTCACTCAATTGTCCCTCCTGGCTTTCTTTACAGTCAAGATGGCGTATCACTGCAACCTCGAGAGCTCCTTGAGCATACAGTCATAAATGAGCCCAGAAACTTTTAGGGTGATGGGTCAAGTAGTATGTGAGATAAGCCATGGACAGACAGACAGACAGACTGATGCATGCACACACACACACATACACACATACACGTCCGAACACATGATCTTCCCACAGGCTGACTGGTTTATTTAGATTAAAATGGAATTCAATTTATTTATCTTTTAAAAAAGATTATACATCCAAGCAAAGAACTCCAAGGCAAGTAGGCTTGTGACAAAAAGTTTGCAAGTTCAATCCCTGGACCGGGAGGACATCTCGGTGGGAAAAGTGTCTGTTTGTCTGTTGGTTATGGATTTAAAAGCCAGTGATGTTATTTAGCTGGAACCCTTTAAGGGCCAGTGTGTAATATTTCAGGGGATCTATTAACGAAAATGTAATATAATATTCATAATTATCATTAGTGTATAATCACCTTTACGTTTAAGCTACGTTTTCGTTAGCTGAGAATGGGCGCTTCATTTCTGGAGCCAAGCGGGTCCTCTTTACGGAGTCCACAATGTTGCACCCAGGCGGCAAATTGACATGGACTGGAGGAGCCGGGGAACTGCTGATCCTCTGATTAAAGGACGACCCGCTCTACATTCTGAGCAATAATCGCCCCAAAAAGAAATGTTATTGTATAGAAGTCTATGAGAAAATGACTCGACTTCTCTCTTGATTTATTACCTCAGTAAACATTGTAAACATGAGTTTATGGTCTCAATCTCTAGTTTCACGTCTTCTTCAATACAGCATGATGTTCATTTCGATTTAAATAGACCATAAAGTAGGGTATGCTTTAGGGCGGGCTTACTGTAAGTGACAGGTCACTGCCGCTACCAGAGCCATATACACCGTCACTACGTCACTCCTTCGCATTCCAAATATGGAAAAAAAAAACCATGGTGACAGCCGTAAACCAAGATGGCGACGACGAATTCACCAAACTCGTGGCTTTAAAACAGCAGTCCACAAACCAATGGGTGACGTCACGATGACTATGTCCACTTACAGTGTATGGTTGCACATCCATGTTTCTACAGTAGCCCAGAGTGGACAAACCAGACACTGGCTCTTGAGTGGGCCACTCATATTTTGATGTTTCTAACTGATCTTCATTCTGACTACAGCTATAAGCCATAATCACGCGAACAAAAAACAAATAAAGAGAAGATTTCCCGGTCCATACGTAAAATATCTACTGAAAGAAAGAGTTTTAAAAGCTCCCTGGTCAAACCACCTAGCTAATGGCTAACAGCAAGGGTGACATAAAAGAATCCATTGAAGTTGTCAATAAATTTAGTTTTAAATGTCCACCCATTGCTTTGTCCCCCCCTCCAACCATACCACTTGGTACGGTCCAGATTGTCAACACATTAGAAATCAAAGCAAACAACAAACCAAAGAAGCGTAATTGAATGAAAAAAATCCTAAATAGAGCAAATAAATACTAAATGAATAAATTTGTAATGCATACCCAAAGGACAGACATCAAACTACACTGATCAGTGAAATAAAGGGAATGCTTCATCGAGAAATATAGGTGATGTGAAAATGACCCCTCGGTGTGCAGTCCTTTGATTACCTCGACTTATATCGGCCTAGAAGAACATCACGCATGCACAAACAAAACCACCATTGCATGTGATTGTCGCTCAGAGAAAAGCTGAAGTTCTCTGTGCTGCTATCATATCTTTGTCAAATAAAAACCCGTCATCGGGTTCTGCTCCCTCCCCCCCCTCATAGGCCAGAGAAAAAAAACATTCCCACTCCTCTCACGAGGGAGCCGCTGACACCTGCACGACTTCAATCCAGATCCGGGTTGTTTTGCATCGTGTGCCTCGAGCAGCGGGGATATGGGGCTACACTGTCAGGCCTTTAGCACTGAGCTGGAATATACTGCATGCGACAAGTGAGGAGGGAAGTGATTCTATAGTGGAACACATTTTGTGGGATTATTCCATGTCTTTTATCTCCCCCTCACTGAATTTGGCAATTACCACTGATTATGTGCTGTTTTTTTGCGTGTTATATAAATAGTTAAATTTTTTGAAAACAATGTAATTATGGAAGAGGGAAACGTGTGAGGGTGTTAATTAGACCGTGTGTATTCCTGAGACTGTGACAGAGCCCTGCAATAAATGTGTCTGATATACCTGAAATCTGTTCTAATAGTGGACATAAGTTCTTCTTCTAATGTCTCTGGTTTCAAGCACAAAGTCAGCGGTGCTGTGGTCAGCTATAAGCGACACTTCTAAATCACAACTTAGGTTTTCACAATTAAGACTTTTACATTGCCCAGCTCTGAAACTGTGACAAAAACGGCAGCGACGCAGGTTTGCTTAACAAAATAAAGTGATTTAACAACCAAAACATAAGTCAAGCCAATCTGTATAGATTCAGGAGTGCTTGTAGTGGATGTGTAAGAATGGGCAGCATGTATGTTGTGTTGTAAAAAGGTAACACAAAGTCGTGACACAGAGATATGGAGCGGGAGGCGCTCTGCTAACCCGGCACTGCTGCTGCTGCTCAGGCTTTTTAAGCGCGTGCCATGTGTGTCCCATGCTGCTGATTAAACTCAATCAGGTCTGGAGATAGAAAGCACAGGAACAGCAGAGGAACCAAACCGAGAAGCTCGATCTCATCACCCAAGCTGCCATAAGTTTCAGTAACTGAGGTTCAGTCCATTTACTTTTGGGTGTGGTTTCAGCAAGTGAAAAAAATCTGTTTAAGCGACCATAGTAACTATGATGGGAGCAAAGGAGGA